AAATTTTATAGAGAGCTCCTTAAATAACTTTTATATGGTTCTAGCTAAAATTTAACTGAAAAATAGAGAGCATGATTGTGGATGCTCTAAGATAAGCCCAAAATCCCCTTGTGTTCAATATTCAGAAATCATTGTAATAAATCAAATGAAATATATATAATTCAAGACTGCAGAAGCCTTGTGAACTTATCAACTTATACAGAAGATCACAACGATTAAGAGATAGGTTCTCATTTAAGGGATTTAGATAAGACCCCAACTATAGAATTCTTACCTAATCTACTATAATACATATCCAAGTCTAAGAAGGGAACAGTATTATTTCTCTCAAAAGAACAATTTCTATTAGGTATTATTCAAAGAAATTAATTAGGAGCGTAATAACTCTTACCATCAGCTTGGATACACGTTAACCTCTCGAGAACGTTTACCATTTGAGTCCCGCATTTATTTGAATTTATTTTTGGATAAATCCTTATCGTCCATATCCAATCCAGAATTTGTATCCCAATAGAAGACCAACCCCGGCATACGGATAAATCCCTTTACAATAATTAATACTACTTGAAGAAAGAGTTTGCTTATATATTGAATGAATTATATTCTCTTCTATTCCTCACTCTATATCTTTCTCTCCCTGTCGCTGCTCACTCTCTGATACTTCTCTCTCTCTCTCTCTCTCTCTCTAGATCGAGATGGCTGACCGGACAGCTGAAGACAAGGCCATCTCCGGCCAACCCAAGAACACACTAATTGCAGACTTTGATCCGCCACAGAAACCCAAGAGAAACAACTTCGCCATTGCCTGCTCCATTTTGGCTTGCATGACATCAATTTTACTGGGCTATGGTAATTATCCTATTAGCACTCGAAATCGTTTTCTCTTACTTTTTTTAATCTTAATTCTGCAAGAAAAGAATTGTTGGTTTTGGAGTGTATGAACTGAGTGTGGTCACTTTTGTTTACAGATATTGGTGTGATGAGTGGGGCGAACCTCTTCATCCAAGAGGACCTCAAAATCGACGACGTCAAGATTCAAATACTTACCGGCACATTGAACATCTACTCTCTCATCGGCTCGGGCTTGGCCGGCAGAACCTCCGATTGGATCGGGCGCCGGTACACCGTCGTCCTCTCCGGAGCCATCTTCTTCGTCGGAGCTATCCTCATGGGCGTCGCCCCGAACTACGCCTTCCTTATGTTCGGCCGGTTCGTCGCTGGAATCGGTGTTGGCTACGGTCTCATGATCTCTCCGGTCTACACCGCCGAGATCTCTCCGACTTTGTCCCGTGGCTTCCTCACATCTTTCCCTGAGGTTTGTTTTCTTTCCTTATTTGTTTATTTACCTTTGTTTTTTTTTTTTTTTTTGAGCCCAAAACAATACTAAGCAGGTTTCATGTGAAACAAAAGTAGGAAGTGTTTGTTTCCTCACTAGTGATATCATCACATTACACAACCTGGGAAGCACTTTTGGAGACATCATGTGAAACAGCTTTTGATACCTGTGATGATGTTTATCCAGTTCTCCCCACCATATCCCCTTTGTTTGATTTTGATTTTGTACTTTTGAATTGGATGTGGATGTGGATGTGGTTGGAAACAACTTTTGACAACGTAAGATTTATTAAAGAGATGAGGTGAACCGGTTGTATGAGTTTTTTTGGCAAGTGTTTTATGACTTTCTGTGGTTTATAGGTGTGGAATTTATACTAATTTATTTGATTTATTTGGATAAATATGTACAGGTTTTCGTCAATCTTGGCATATTATTGGGGTACGTCTCCAACTACGCCTTCTCCAAGCTCCGACCTCACCTCGCTTGGAGGTTCATGCTCGGCATCGGCGCCCTTCCCGCCATTATTCTCGCCGTCGGCGTCTTAGCCATGCCAGAGTCGCCGCGTTGGCTCGTCATGCAGGGGCGACTTGGGGACGCCAAGCGCGTCCTCAACAAAACCTCTGCCTCCAAGGAAGAGGCTCAGTTGAGGCTAGACGACATCAAAGAAGCCGCAGGCATCGCCAAAGACCTTGACGACGACGTTGTTCCGGTCGCGAAGAAAAGCCGTGGTGAAGGCGTATGGAAAGACTTAATCTTGCACCCAACGCCAGCCGTTCGCCACATTTTGATCGCAGCCCTCGGCATCCACTTCTTCGAACAAGCTTCGGGCATAGACTCTGTCGTCCTGTACAGCCCCAGGATCTTCCAGAAGGCGGGGATCAAATCTAAAGACCACTTGCTCCTTGTAACCATGGCAGTTGGATTTGTCAAGACCATTGCCATCTTGGTCGCCACGTTTTTCCTTGATCGGTTTGGGCGGCGCCGGTTGCTTTTGACCAGCGTGGCTGGGATGGTATTTTCGCTCGTGTGCCTCGCGGTGGGCCTCACGATCATCAATGATCACCGCGACAAGGTCCCGTGGGCCATCGCATTGTGCATCACCATGGTGTTATTCAACGTTGCGTTCTTCTCGATTGGGTTGGGGCCCATAACATGGGTTTATAGCTCTGAGATCTTCCCGCTGAAGCTACGCGCGCAAGGAGTTAGTATGGGAGTGGCCGTTAACAGGTTGACAAGTGGCGCCATATCCATGTCTTTTCTCTCACTATCCAAGGCCATTACGATTGGTGGGGCCTTCTTTCTCTACGCGGGGATTGCTGCGGTGAGTTGGGTCTTCTTTTACACGATGCTCCCCGAAACCAGGGGAAGAACCATTGAACACATGGAGGTGCTGTTTGGTAAATATCACAGGTGGAGAGAAGCGAAAGCCGTGCTCGAGAAGAGCAAGCAAGGCGATGGTGACGAAAACAAAAGTCAAATCAAATAGGATTTACAGTCCAGTCCACTAGGGTTTACTATGGATTTTTATTATTACTAGTAGGATTTAAATACTCTTCTTTTTATTTTAGTATAAATGTTTTCTATGTAATGGAGAAAATAAAATTTATATATTTTTATTCGAAAGGATTTTCTAATGTGTTTTTCCCTTGTAATAATTTTTTTTTTGTTCTTTTAAAAGCAATAGAGGAATCACACTCTTTCTCTATTGGAAAAGTGGACTTCTTTATTCTCAATAATAGCTCAACTAGGACCTATAACAATAATTGATATTGCCACCCAACCATCATTTGTGTTATTGGGAAAAAAAATTACATATATATACCTTATCTTCTGTTTTTTTTTTTTAATGATAGGCGATAAAAATTATTGACATGAAACAACTAGTACAACAAGTTTGAATTCTTATTAAGGGCCAAGGACAGTTCCTTAATCATGAATTACAATCGTTATACAATACATCGGAAATAAAATAAAATCAGGATTTTCAGTACGACGAATATGAGTAATACCTTACCGAGTGACCTAGAAAGCATCACTTTCAAACCCGTTTCCATCGCCAATATTGTACATGTTCTTGCAGTCAAAACCTCCACTTATGGCACAGAGAATATATTATCCATTTTAACCCCACAACCCGCCACAAACTTGTGGCGCAGAGAATGTATTGTCCATTTTAATCCCACAACCCACCACAAATTTGCCGCTGGAGTCTTACAACCAGACCAACGCCACCCTCTCTGTGGTCCCTGGCTTCCAAGCACCATCCGCATTGGTTTTGAGAGTATTAACATGAGGTGTTGGCTGCCACTTTTGTTCTGCTTGACTATGCCCACCACGAGACCCCAAGAAATTATTAACCCGCAAAAAATCCTGTAGCCACAAAGATGCACTCAAGCTGACTTGGTCAGGCTTAATCCTCCTATAGCCATCCATTACGTGTTTCCCAAATTGCCCAGCCCACCACGAGAAAATTTCCCAAGTCATGATTACTGAGTGGGGGAATGCTAGCAACCTTCTCTTCAACCTTCTCTTTTGGACATTCTCCCCTTACCTCATGACATGTGTCCCTTTCTTTACACTTAAAACAATGTAATTAATGTATTAAACAAGCTATCATTTGTTTTCCAAATTTACCCTTATTAAATATATTGATTTTAATGTTTCCTTTAATTTATCCAAATTTTTTACAAACTTCTTACCACCTTGTTAAAAATTAATTAAGAAAAAACGTTTTTTTTTTAAAAGACTCTAACGGGACATTCAAATAAAACTTAAAATTTAAATAAGAAAAAACGTTAGTTTTATTTTTTGTTTTTTGAAAGACTCAAAAGGGAGTAAGGAGAGACATTGGTTTAAATCGAAAATTTGGTATGTCTGAATTTTAGGATTTTTTTTTTCTTTGAAATAATCAAACTCTAAAGGCAGTAAGGGATATAAATAAAACTATGAACTTCCCTTCGAATATGATTATTTGTGTTTTTTTATAAATATTTTTAGTTGTTACTGAAAATGCTCTTTAACTTTATTTAGTAGTTTAAAAAAATACAATTAATGAACTTCCTTTTGAAGGAAGTCTTTTTTCTTTCTAAAAATGTGATCTTTCTACTGAGTGTTTTTTTTAGGTCATTTTTTTGTGTTTAAAAAAAATAGAAGTTTTATCTATGAAAAAAAATAGACATTTTTCTTTTTTTAAAACAGACTTTTTTATTATTTAATTTTTTACATGTGGTAAGAGAGTTGTAAAATTGTTTTTGAACAAATTGAAGGACAAAACATTTAATAAGGGTAAACTTGGAAAAAAAATGTTAGCTTGTTTGATGCATTAGTTACATTGTTTTAAGTGTAAGGAAATGGACACATGTCATGAGGAAAGGGGAGAAGGTCCAAAGAAGAATATTGGAGAGAAGGTTGCTAGCATTCCCCAATGCCACATATACTTAATGATGATATTGCTAATTAATCACATTTCTCGCATAGATAAAACCGACTTGTGTCACATGTGATCAATAAATATAGTATAACTAAACTACAAAGCATGAGCAAGTGAAATTAATAAAATGGGAAGCTCACTTGTAACAGTTAATGTTCTTTGAGATGATTTGCTACCTCACAATCTCTTAATCAAATCCAGAGATATATATATATATATATATTACTTTAATTATGAGAACTCTCTGTAGAAGCCATCATTTATCCAAGCTATGAACTTCCAATTGCTATATCATTTACCTGTTGGAACAAGAGCAATACATAATATTCAAACCAAATTCTAAAAATCTTCAGTTTCTACGTACGGTTCGGTTCGATGATGAAAATTAAAACCATACAACTATTTTAAATGAAAATGGTTACCAAGTTATACAAATACAATAAACAGTTTTAAGCACACCATTGCAAACTTGTTAGGGATCTTATGAAATCACTAATTTAGTCTCAAACTATTACAAGAGATGACAATTAGACAAATGAAAAGGAACATCACTTACCATAGTTCTGGCGCACAGTGGTGAACCCGTAGATGGCTTTAATTAGGGAACCATATCTCATAGACTTCAATTCTCCCATATGTCTGTAAAGCAAAATATGGGACACAATCAGTTCAGAAACAAAATGGGTACAAACACAATACATCAAGGAGAAGCTTCTGTTGCACAAAAGTTCCCAGAAAATGTACTGCAGAAAAACAAATCTGCATGAGACAAAGGAGATAAATGTATACACACACAAACACATGTATATGTATGTATTATACACAAATCAGCTGGCTCAAAACTCTGGCCTATTTTTATGGTTAGATTGGTTACTCCATCTTTCCCTGCACCATGGCTTTGTGGTTTAAGTTTCACTAGACATCAAGTAGACATATATAGGAATATATGCAGCTAACTGCATCACACATCTGTCGAAGAACACTCACACAATCTCAGTATATCGAATTCTCCATGCAGGGAAACCAAGGTGGCATCTTGCAGGTCCGTAAACCAATAGGAGGTCAGGGTCTGGCCCTCTACAACCTGAAAGCATATTACCATAAACACCCGTAAGGTCAAATTGAATTGTGCAGGTAACCATTATTGTAGACAATTGAGCATCTGACAGTAAAACATACTAATAGCTTTTAGTGCCTCATCCATGTTAGGTTCTGTAAAGATTTTCTCTTCATGATCTCCAACTGATTTGGCCAACTCCAAATACTTCACAAAAAGTAAGTTAGCTGCTTTGGTTACAGCTTCTTTTCCATCAGAAAATGAAGAAAATTCCAGAGCCATGTGGTTTTGATCGACTAAATCTTCATAAGCCTGCACAGCATGGATGTTAAGTTGGGTATACACTTTGGCATCATCAATAATGCATAACTGTCCATTGTGAAAGGCACAAATCATTTATCAGATCTATATAATTAAAGAAAAAAGTACTACTTTGCATAAACTTACCCCTCACTTGCCCTACGTCGGTAATCTAGTGGTGGACTACCAATGTATGCTTTATATAGGAGTCATATTAAAAATATAAAACAAAAATTAAAGGCAATTGCTTGGTATTGGCATCAAAAGAAAACTCTGTTGGTCTCAACACAATCCTGAATTCTAGATACACGAAGATTGATCGTGACAGCCTGAACTGCTTCCCAGTATGCTAATTAATTAGTAACTTTACTGTAGGGACAGAAGACCTTAAATTCTCGTGCGTTTTTCAGTTTATTGAAGATGGACATCAGAAAAGTCAAATAATCACACAAGATTTAAATACATATGTTACATTGTTGCATACCAATAGTAGAAAGCGTCTGACATCAATCAGGATGGCAAACCACCATTACCTTCTGTATCGTAGAGGCACACACGCTTCACACCAATAGCTTCTAGCCACTGCAGCAGCTCAATTACTTTTGATGTTTGGTAAGCTTCTTCACTTTCTATCACAATTGCCAGGTACCGTAGCTTGCCCAAATTAAGGGCTTTGAAGCTCTTGAGTACTCCACCAGAAATAAGATAGCTTTGAAGCACATAAGCTACACCCAATAGAAAGTACCATATGCTGACAAAAAGGTGTAGAATATGCCATAGCAGCAGAAGCCCGAGATTGCCAATCTGCAGCAGCCACAACCCAGGATCAACATTGGCTTTAATATCAAAGTAAGTAGCATACGAAATGAATGAATATCAATCAGCCATAATCATCCAAATACATGACTTTTCTGATATTGCAATAAATGGCCCAATAATTCACAATCCATTACCCTCTCAAAAAGCTTGCAATCTTTTCAGGCTCATAATTTATCTTAAAAGTTTATTACCTACATTAAAACTCATTTCCGATTACATGAACAAAGAAACAACATCAATTACACAAAGCCATCATCCAAAGAATAAAGCTTCAAAGAAGCCTTCTTTGCACTACTTTATTCTTTTGTTAAATTATTTGGTGAGGTAGAAAACAAACTCAAGGTTTCCTACTTTCCGCATGCCAATTTTAAAGAACAACCTCGCTATAATGTACAGATCAAATTCAATCATATTCTTTTACTTCATTATGCCATATGAAGGTGCTTCAACTATGTAGAAGACAATAAGAAATAGGCCCTTTCTTATATGGACTACAACAAATATCTGAATTTAAAATAAAACACAAAGTTGAACTAATTAGTAGGTCAATAAGCACATTTAAAAGCTTGTCAATACCATTTTTTATGATCACACCAATCTTTTAGAGTGACTATTCTATTGTCTGCCTACATGACCATTTTTAGTTAGATTGATTATGCTTCCAAAATAAATTGAAACATATAGACTAATTTCTCTTTTGTGGGCTAAAATCATCTAGAGCAAAGCCTCAACCTCCAACCAGGAAACACCAATCTAATTACAATGTAAAAGAAGTAAACTTCTAACGGGTAATTTGCGCTGGAAATTAAAGAGCACAAGATATGTATCAGTCCCTAAGTTGCACCAATACGGATACAGGTACTCCGATACGATATGATATGCCGATACAGAAAATCTCCAAAAAATAGGATACAGGTACGGCACCAATACTGCGATTAAAATAATATAAATATATAAATTATAAAAATATAAACATATATATGTAAAATTAGCATTTTGGGCCTTTTCTTCTGGTTCATTATGTTTTTCTCGGCCATATATGACTTGTTTCAGTTATTGGGCTGGTCCCAAATGAATGAATCAGACTTAAAATTGTATAAAATAATTTTTTTTAACATAGGCCACCTAACATGCAACTAAAACGGTGCGTATTGTAATTAGGGCACCTAACATCATCTTCTTCACTAATTAGCCGCCTCTTCTTCGCACAGCAACTGAAGATTCGCAAGTAAGTTCTTTTTGTTCTTCATTCTTCCTTCTTCCTCCTTCTTCTTTTTCGGTTGCCGTCAAAATTACCCCTTGACGTATCGGGACCGTATCGCGAGCGTATCATGACCGTATCGATGGAGTATCGGAGCCGTATCTTAAAGTCAACATCCCCATATCAGTGCCGTATCGTATCGGGGCCGTATCTGATACGGGCATACCCCCAATTTTTGGCGTATCGGTGCAACAGAGGTTCAGTCCAAAGCAAAAGATACCCACTACGCAAATATCACAGAAGAAGAAACTTATGCACTTACTTGAGCAAAGGAAGCCCTCGGCATATCAATCCTCAAATCCATCATTCTGAAAAAAGAAAAAAAAATCGATTGAAACCCAACAATTCAATAACCCAAATATTAAAAGGGTAGCAATAAATTTAATCAGAGAGTCAAGAAATCATCAGAAACTAATCTCACTTACCAAAAAGAAATTGGCGAATATTGGAGTGAGAGAAACAGAGCAGCAAAGCCAAACCACCAGTCTCTCTGTGTATGAACTAACTCTTTCCCTGTTTTTGCCCAAGCTTCATCCAATATATAAAAGCTGAAGTGAGCCTTAAACTAACCCTTGAACATAAATTGTGTACTGGATTCGAGCAACGATTTGTGGTTTCTGGGTTGTGATGTATATTTGCGATTTGTCTTCTTTCACACTTGTACTTGTGCTTCTGGTCGCTGCAATTGAGTTCACGTAAATTCCTGCTTTTTTCCGGTTCAGGTTAATTGTGCTTCAGAGCATTTCGAAAGATAAAATTTTAAAATAAAATGGATTTAATTATATAATAAATATCTGCTTGAGAAGAGACAGAGTGAGAGGGAATTCTCATGTTTGGGACAAGGAAGAACGCACACTATTCGCAGATGGAATGTCGAGACAAAAGAGAGAACGTATAAACGTGGAGAGTTTCCAACCCAAAAAAAACGTGGAGAGCAAACCATACGACATCGTTTTGAGTACCAGCTACATGGCACACTGATCGTGTTTGCCGGGTCGTGTCAACCCGTTAAGAAAAGTGGGCTTAAAATATCAAACACGAACACGACAAAACAAATACCAGCTACTAGCTAAGAATATAAAAAATTAAAGAAAAAGGAAAAAACTGGAAAAAAAACAAAACAAAACAAATTTTAAAAATAAAAAAGTATCTCGTCGAGCAGCAAAGAAGAAGAAGAAAGCTGGAGTCACCGAACCTGGTGGTTGGTGCTGCGCGCGGTGTTCCTTCTCGAAGAGGGTTAGGTTGGGTTGGATTCTTCTTTCTTCTTCCTCTTCTTCCTTTTTCTTCTTTCTTTTCTTTCTGCCCGATAAACCAAAGTATCAATCGCCTTGTTCTCTTCACAGCATAAAGTTCAATGTTCTGTTCACATAATCTACAAAATTGAGATAAATAAAATCTTACAGTACAAGGAAGAAAGACCAATGATGCTGTTCGCCCAAAAAAATGAAAGACCAATGATGGAGTCTCAGAGAAAGGACGGCACATGTACTGCCTCTTTAATTATAGAGCGAGGATTATTTTATTGGTTTGGTTAAGTGATTGTCTTCAGAGAGTGACTTGGTTTTATTGGTTGGAAGAGGGTCCTATTTGGTTAAGGGCTTGTGAGTGCTTTTGGAAATGCCAAAAGCGATTTTTGACAATTAAAAGCGTTTCTGATAGCATTTGACAGAAAAGTTTAGAAGTGTTTTTGGGTCTTAGAAGCGCTTCATGAAGAAGCACCTACTATGTGCTTCTTGGAGAAGCACTTGCTATGTGCTTCTTCGAGAAGCCCTTCCAACTTCCAAGTGCTTTTCTAGGAAACACTTTGATTTTTTATGAAAATTCAAGATATTTATAATAAAAGCACTTTTGTTAGAAGCGCTTATGAGCAGAAATACTTCCTAGAGAAGCAGCCCCAAACGAGCCCTAAGTGATTGTCTTGAGAGAGTGACTTTGTTGTAACCAACACTTCGTCTTAATAAAACTCTGACCTTTTGATTATATATATATTGTTAATTGGGTCAACGGATAAGCGTTGAGTTATTATTATTATGCTAGCAACCTTCTCTCTAACCTTCTCTTCTGTATATTTTCCCTTCTTCTCACAACGTGTGTTAATTTTCTTACACTTAAAACAATGTCATTAATGCATCACACAAGCTACTTTTTTTTGTAACTATTTTAGAGTGCTGCTAAATGAACCCTAAAATTAACTGAGTACACCCTACTACCAAAGTATTTATTGAATTACTAATTTACCCTAATATAAAATGACCAAATAGGATATATTGAATAGTGAAACAAATATAATTTTAATAAGTACACCCTACTCATCATATTCAACCCTAATCAAACATAGAGAAGTTTTCGTATTGTTTGGTGCCCACGACAAAATCTTATGTTTTTTGGAGGAGAGAGAATTTACACTCCCAACATTTTAGATATATGTGGGAGCTTCGCCAAGACCACAAATAGGGGAGACAAACATTTCCAAATACTAGAGGTGGCATGCATATGATATGCGGCTGTTTGTTATTCAATCTTTTTAGCTCAAATATTCTGTATGGTCAGAATCATCAGATAATGGGCTCATATTGGCTTGGCAATTTCATTTTATCGAGATTTTAATGGAAATAATTCTGGAGATTCTTATTTCAAATCCATAAATGAACAATAGATAACAGAGTCTTACAATGGAGATGAAATGCCAACGATTGTGCATTAATATAAGTTGATATTAGGATTGGTAAAAAGAGAAAGTTGAAAAGAGAGCATGAATTCATGTAAAAAGCGAAACCTGGTTTTAGGATTGGTATTGGGGTTTTGTGTGATATAGTGCATTAGGGTGTACTAGGGGTATTTTTGGTAGTTAAATAAGGTGTACTTAGTTAATTTTACATTTTAATTAAAATATTAGGGTGTATTTAGATCATAGGGTGTACTCAGTTAATTTTAGGGTTCGTTTAGCAGCACTCCTATTTTATCACCCTGTTAAAAAATTAAATAAGAAAAAACGTCTGTTTATTTGAAAAAAAAAATGTATGTTTTTCTTTTCAAGAGAGAACGTTTTTTTTTTTTTTAAACACAAAAGAATTTAGACCACTATTGATTGATATTTAACCATGCTCGAAGGATGATTCTTTTGCACTAAACAGTCAAACTTGTCTAAGGCGGAAGCTGCACATGTGATGTTTACATAGCCATTGTCAATGACCAATAGAAACAAAGAGAAAATAGGAGTTTCATTTCTCTACAGAGAAAAAAAAAAGACGTCTTTTTTGAACAAAAAAAAACGTTATTTATTTAATTTTTTAACAAGGTTGTTGTAAAAAAAAATTATAAAAAGGCTAGCTTATTGTAAATTAAAACAAAAAAGTTAATACATTAATAAGGGTAAACTTGGAAAACAAAAAGTAGCTTGTATGATGCATTAATGACATTGTTTTAAATGTAACGAAATTAACACATGTCATAAAGAGAATGGAGAATGTCCAAAAGAGAAGGTTGCTGGCATTCCACTTTGTACAATTCAAGTGCTAGTCTAGGGGTCATGGATTCAAGTACTCCATAAAATGTAGGCTCTTACAAGCCCCCTGGAAGGTGTTTTCTTTTCCAAGACATATGCATATGAACAAACAAATCCCAATGCATCTTCACAATGGGGAATTGGTGGACGTAAAGCCTCTTGCAACAAGACCGGCACCAAAGCTCCATATGTTAGACCCCTCCAAAATTGCATGATATCAATTATATAAACATTTTCCAGTGAAACTTCTGTCAAAACCTTTGATCAAAAGTTCATATATGGATAAGAATTAATCATCATTTTGGATACAATCAGCTTACTTTCCAGCATTTCTTATATAATACATTAGGCAAGAATAAATGACGGAGCAGTAAATCACAAAAAGAAAAACAACTACAAATTGACCATTAGTTTGCCTCATCAACAAAATCACTGTTCTTAGCTCTTGTCCACCTGTTCAAAGTCTGCTAGAAAAACTCAACTCTAGTTCTAACAATACATTAGGGAAGATTAACTGAAATGCGAGGGTAAATTACAAACACAAGTGTGTCTCTTCAACTAAAACCACAACTCTTTGCCCAACTGAGGTAGCTCTCCGAGAAAAACCATATCGAGAATGGAAAGCAGACAAATCTGGTCGTGGAACCTTGTATGACTGCATTCTATGCATTCCATATCACCCAAACACAGGGGTCTATCACCTTGCTTTCCTCTGTTTGATTTAATATCTAACAATCTTTTCATTGTTGATAGCCCGCACCCACAGACCTTACGATCCTCTGCCACAGCTTAAATATATCAGTTCTCCTTTACTCTAAATTGCCCAAAACCACAAAAACTGAATACAACACCTTCTCTGGAGTAGAACTCAACTAAACGTGGTAGCACATATACGGAGCTAAATAATAGCAGGTAAAGATCATGTCTTCCAGGAAAAACCACTTAATAAGAACGAACATTTTTTATAGCAAAATGTATGGCATGAATATAGGCCTTGCATTTACTTTTAACTGAGTTTTGGAAGTATTTGAATTCCCCAATCATTTTCGTATGTAAATATGACAAAGAAAAGTGATTGAATGAACAATATAAGTATACATGAGGTTTGAAATGATTAAGTTCATGATTATTTTTTTGAAAATAATTAAGTTCATGATCATAAAAATTTAAAACCAACAAATATGTGAAAATGTTCAAATTCCTGTCCTAAAACGCACACACGACACATACCTTTGATGAAAGAAATTTAAAACACACATACAACAGATTATATGTAGAAACATTAATTATGAGATTGTGTAAATATAGAAATAGATTGTCGTAGCAGCCAGCCATACATTAAAAAGTGTGGCATCTACTTGAAGTGAGTTCAAGGTATGCAAATCCGAGACACATATCTTTCAACAATCAATTTTTGTGTTTCCCCCACCTTTTCCATAAATAAGTTCATTATAAATGCCAAAGGGGACACAACCCAAGCTCACAACAATAAGGAAATCACAACTCCCTTAAGCTTGCATTCAAAATCATTTGGAAGGGGTAGCAGAAGTTTTCTTAGCAAAAAAATGCATTTACAAAATTCTCAATAAGGGCTTAGAAGAACCTTCATACCTATTGAGCTGAATCTTCAGAGAATCTGCCATCAAAAGGAGTTGACATATGAGAATGTGCTGAACCAGCAGCAGTTCCAGAACCATTTTGAAGTTCTATGACAAGCCATCGAACAGCTTTACTCATCTGTTCCAACCGAACTGCACTAATGGGTGGAAGACCAGTTGCGGTTTGCCCAGACTTCCCAGCCACCAAGCCAGTTGCCTCATCCACCAGGCACTCGGAGCCAATCCTTTGCTTCACAGACTCCACAAACTCCTCCGCTTGATCACAAGTGACTCTGAAAAGTTCCCACTTCTGCTTAAAATTCTCAAGAGCAGCATCTGTGGCTGCTGTTTTCTGGGCGCCAGAAGTTTCCTTGGCTTCGAGCACATTAGCTGCTGCAACAACGAACTCTTGGTATGCATTGTTTAGAGAATCTACAATGTTGTCCATTTGGCGGCTCGTATTGGCTAGTGAATTTAGTGATGAAACGTTAGGAAACTGTGAACAATTGAGGGAAGGTAAAAAGTTGCATAAATGCATATAACTGAAATAAAAATCCAGGGTACCCATAGCTTTATATTCATTCAGTATGGTGAACCAACAACACAACGAACAAAAGATAATAGCTTTAATCTAATTAATTTTTTTTTTTTTTCAATTTGAACCAGAATTTCATACTAAATCACAATTCTCTGTTACTTTAAACCTGGGTATGCATTACGTACATTAAAATAATCAAATCCGCTCGATATAGAAATTAAATTCTAGGCAAAAACATTCCACAACGGTAACATAGAAATACCAATCAGAATTCACAAAATTTCAACACCAAAAATTAAAAAGAGAAGCAAACTAAAGAAAAAGGGGGATTTTTTCAGATATTAAAACCCAGATCAATTTGGCATCGATATGCTTATGAGCTATGACAATAATTGATTCAAAGATCAAAAGAATCAAACACAAGAGCTGAAATTAAACTCATGAAATTGAAATTTACCTAATTAAAAAGGAGCCGATTCAATTATTTAGAACTGAAGCTGATACTTTTTTGCACCTGGTTTCCGCTGTGAGATGGTCCTCTCTTTTTTCCCTTGCCCGTTTGTGGCTAATGAAAGCTACTGTAGACCAAAAAATAGGGTTAAGGGTTTTTTAGAAATTAGAATTGAAGAAGAAGAAGAGTAGAATTTAGAACGCAGAAGAAATTCAGAAAAGAAGAAGAGGGCTGGGCGGGCTGTTATGTCCAAGGCCTTCTTCCTTTTTTTAGCAACTTTTTTATACGTTTTTTCTTATCTTTTTTCCTTTGGCAATTTGGAGAATGTAAAACGAATTTCAATTGAGAGAACTCCTATGAAATAAAGTTCAAAGAACCTATAAACTATAGGGTTTTTATTCTACTTTGCCCTAAATTTTTTTAAGGTTCTTTTTTTCAAGTCAATCTTTAATCATTTGGTTCCTGTTATGGCATTTTATCATAAACTTTCGTAATAATATGTTACGTCTCATCGTGCGATAAGCTTTAAAATGATATTTTTCATCAAATTATAACTTATCCGCCTAAAATACAAATTAAAAACTCTCGTCATTTTCTCAACAAGACTGAGTCAATGAAAAGCCTAAGCGCACCTTTAGAAACAAATGAATTGTACATGTTAATTACTTATATTGTATATTGTAAGTTTTAACTCAAGCTGTGGGTTAGGCCAGTTGGCCATACGTGAATTAGGTCAATTGGCTAGGGCAATGTGCTCACCTCCTTACACCTAAATTTGAGTCCCCTTCCCCTTATAGTAGATTAATTTATAATAATTTAGATTATTAATTGTATTAAAAAAAGAGTTTTAACTCACATGCTTTAGGCCATTTAAGAATTTTGAGTACCAAATATATAAATGAAATCTTTAATTCATGTTCTTTCATTGAGTCTGATATTTGATCCTTTTTCTCCAGGTATCCTAGAATCGTGTCCTCTGACATTGCTGCTTCCTCGCTCTATCTGACATGAGCAGAGCCATGATTTAAAGTAAAATTAAGAGTAATGCTATTTGGACACACAACATTGACACATTTAGTGACACCTGCTGATGTGTCAATGTATCATTTGCTCTTCTTTTCTCCTCGTTTTCTGTTCAACGAATGATACATTGACACATCAGCGGGTGTCAACTAAGTGTGTCAATGTTGTGTGTCCAAATAAGATTACTCTAAAATTAAACCAAAATCAAGGAAAGTAAATCAAATCCTAATTAGAATCGGAAACTAAAAAGAAGTAACTAATAATTTAAAGTAACTAGAAATGCGTCCTTTTTCATATTGTAGTAAGCTGGTTAAAGTGAGGTGGAGTTGCGGGTTCAATTCTGTTTGGTGCATGGCTTAAAAGATAATAAATTAGAATATCTGGTCATGGGATTGAATGAATCAACTCAACATTATGAGTTTAATATACGGGCATGCATGGTGAAAAAAAAATTCAGCGACAGACTAAATGACATCAAATAACTTATTTGATTTTAATTGTATGTAAACCTGCTAATTGTTTTATTGTGGCGTTGTTCAAAATTGGACATAACTTAGGATATGCGATAATGCGAGATGTGTGTATGCCTTAGGAATGTTCGTGTTCCTCCGGCAAGTTAGATAGACGGAAGAAGAAAACCCTACTTGAGGAGAACTATGATCTGCCCATTGCAAGATCTCATTGAGTTTCCAAGGTGAAAGCATCACAACAGAAATTCAAATTCAACCAAGGCACAAGGTTTTGATAGAGAATTGCTTTAATTTAAAAGAGGAAGAGACTTGATGCTAGAGAAATTCTAGTAAAGCTGGTTCCATGCTAGTCATGCAAGAGATTCAATGTGAAAAATGAATTGTACGCAAAGATTTATCCTCCTTAACCTTCAGCAACGGTAAAAGATTTGTTGAACTCAAGTTTTGAGCCAGGCAATCGCAGCATGAAGTACGTTAAGAAAAGCTTCCAAAGGGGGATTTATAGTACAACAAAACTGCAACTGGTAAAAAGGCGCAAACCAGAAACACAAAGACAATAAAGCCACAAACCAGGTAAAAGTGAGATGACCATTCCTTCGTCTGCTATGCGGAGTTTCTGATTTACAGAAACCTGTTGGCTTTTGGCATAACAAAGCTTTTGTTTTTCCTTCGTCTAAGGTAAAAGTGAGATACTTGCTTCAAGTAAAATTGTTAAACCATGTCAAAGCATCTGATGATCAAGTTCATTTTCTAGAGAACTAGAAGGTGCAGAAGTCTGAAAGAGGCTGATCCTGAGGCAACATGAAAAGCTTTACTCATTCCATTTATCCCTCCAGATCATTTTGCCTTGTAACAAAATTACTGTTTCTTATGAAAGAGAACAGTTCATGCAAAGCATGTGAAGGAACTCAATGTAAAAGTACAAATATCCTAAAAAGAACTGATTTTGCTCCCTTTTTGTCAAGTGGATGAACTGGAGGCCACCTCCTCTTCAGTAAAAAATGGAATAGGTTTGGTTGGGGCAGGCAAGCGGCCGATGCTATCGACTTTGTCCTTCTGTTTTGGGGGAGGTCTCGCTGCCTTTGGCAATAACCTGCCTTTCTTTTCAAACCACTCAGGTTTCAGCAATGCTCGAAAGCCCAACTTGTTGTAATACACTCTTCTGACAGACCCACCTGCAGCTTCGACGGCTTCCTTTGCCCTCAGAGTGACACGCGATACCTGCAAACCTCATTTGTAAGTCCATTTTTGAATTGCATGCAAGGAAAAAAGGAAGCTCGCATGATTTGATTGTAAGTGACAACAATGATATCAAGTGCACAAGGTTACACTCAAGTCCATGTCAATATCTAAGTCTTGGAGATTACCTGACAAACCAGCACACAAAAGAATTACGGTGAAAAAAAAAAACAAACCAAAAGTCTGACCTACTCAAATTAAAATTTATCTGCAAACTAGTTTAAGAAATCTAAGACCAAAGTTACTTGAGTAACTTTCATCCAAAGATGTTTATATGAAATAAATTACCTAGTGAAAACATTTCAGGCCATCACCAAACTTGGCACTAATGAACATGATCAATCAACATTTTCCAGTCATAACATGGTTCTGCTTTATGAAAATAAAGTTTAAACTGTTCATGTAGAAGGCCTAGATGAACATATACCTCAAAATGAATCGGCCACTGGATCTGTTCAGCACCACGTCCCATCAATCGTACTCCATCTTTAATCTGCTTCCCTATTGCCCCTGTATCCTATTGTAACAATAATTGCCAGATTGAAACAAAGTTGATGCTGGAAATGGTTCAATAGTCTGAGAAGGAATTTACTGCACCTTGAGTGTTTTCATTGTAATCAACTCTGATGAATCAATCTTTCCTGCGTTTATAAGTTTGGCAATTTTTCCTAATCCTACTGGCTGCCACAAAGACACGTATGAAATATCAGAAAATGAATGGAAATAAAGGTGATACAATTAAATCCACCAGAAACAGAAAAGGCTTTCAATAGATTCAAATTCAATTAAAAGGAAATGATAAATATGATAGCCATAGCAGCAAACTTTACTTCAGTACCAACTACCATTACACGTTTGGAAGCTACTTCCCTTATTATCTATCAAAAGAGGCATATTCACACAGTTAACATAAAACCCTGGTGGTCATTATAGCTCAGGGCTTGCATAAATTCAGTATTTCATTATTCAGTAAAGGCTTCTACAATTTCCGACACGAAAACACAACCAGAGCACTTTGGCCATCTTACAGAGTACATGATTGATGATCCCAAACATGTATCTGTTAAATATATCAACCTGAATTGACATATAAAACAAATATAACACGAATAAGTTAATTGATCAACCTCTTTGTGGATACACCAAGTCTAAGAGGCATGAAACAAACTAACTATTCAATTATTCTAATAAAAAGGGACCAATTGTGCTCAAACTCATGCATAAAGCATATCTTCAGTGCCATACATCTAGCAGCAAAACACCATAAACAAATAGCAATGCATATTACACACAATGAAAAAGAAAAAGAAAAGAAAGGATACCTGAAAAGTGAGGCTAAAGGGGTTCTTAAACCCACGCTTGGGCAAACGACGTCGCAGTGGCGTCTGCCCGCCTTCAAACCCCAACTTCCCGGAGCCTCTAGCCTTCTGACCCTTGTGGCCTCGACCAGCAGTCTTGCCTTTACCAGACCCAATCCCACGGCCTTTCCTTGTCTTCTGCTTCCTGGGCACCTTGCCTCTCAGATCGTTCAAGCTCAGCAGACTGTACGCTCTCATTCCCTGAGGCTGAAAGCCAAACCCTTTGGCATTGCTAATGCTAGGGTTAGGGTTTGGGCATTGGAGGAAATGGAGGGATTGGAATGAGATTGGTGAGGGTGAGAGAGTAGGTTTAGTGCCAATTGAGGAGCTGCGAATGGTTGTGGAGAGAAGGGATGTGACTCTTCTTCTCAGCATATTTGTTTGCTTGACGTGACTGAACCAGCAGTTTCGATTTTCCCTCTTCGTTTGGAGAAAAAGTTAGTTGCAGGGGGAATAGACTGTTTTGCCATAGCAAAATATGCCCGTTTCATGAAAATCTCTGAGCCTGACCAAAAGTTTGCCCTCTTGGTTTGAGAAAAAATTAGAGGAAAAATAGAAAGAAGACAACCTATTGCGTTAGTTATGTATTTCAGAAATTCACGAACGTGCTTTTTGTACTAGCTTCAATGAAATATTGACAAATTTTATATATGATCCATCAATTCAGTCTTCACACTTCTATTCTCCCTTTTCTTCCTCTATACTCTGGCACAAAAAATGAAAACTATAAACTCAAATTGAAATGGTTATCAAACGGGTGTCATGGGACCAAATGATGGTCTTCTTCTAGAGTCCAACAGGACCAAAACTCAAGCCAATTTGCAGGCTGCATCTTTGATCATACAAACTTTCTAGTCACTACGAATGCCCCTCATTACAAAATTCATTTCATCAAACCCCTTCAATGAACAATTGCAATTCAAGAGAGAGTCACATAACATAACGGTAAAACTGATACGAGACAGAATGCTAATATGTCGTAATAATAGTACATGAAAAATCCATCTCAAAAGCTAGATCCATAGGAAACTAAGTTGAAGGTTGCCACCTCCTGACCCATTCTGCCAAAGTAGAAAGATTAGTCGAAATGTCTTGGATGCTATCACTCTTCAAGGGAAGCACGATATCTTCTGGGTAGCTCTCTTTTGCCTCCTCAAGCAAAGTTTGAAATATTTCACATTCAATATTGTTGGAGAGCTTTGACTCCGAATATCCTCTGCCACAATTTTAAAAAGAACCCACAAAGCCATATAAACAAAGGTTTTCCTTTTCAATTC